CACACACACACACACACACACACACACACACACACACACACACACACGTATGTTAGAGTTTCTACCACTGTGGTAAAATATTAAAAATACTGTGGGGAGGAAAGGGTTCATTTCAGCTTATGACTCCACGTCACAGTCCATCATGAAGGGAAGACAAGGCAGGAACCTCGAGGCAGGAGCTGAAGCAGGGTCATGGGGGAAGGCTTCTTAGTGGCTCGTTCCCCATGGCTTTCTTATCCTGCTTTCTTATATACTGCAGGACCACCTATCCATGGGTGGCATCACCCACAAAAGGACTGGAACTTCCCACATCAATCATCATTCAAAATAATGTTCTACAGGCTTGCCCACAGCCCTAGCTGGTGGAATTATTTTCTCAGTTGAGGCTTCTTATTTTCGAACAAAGCTAGGTCATCCGCATATCTTTTAGGGCTGACCACTTGTTATTTGTACGTGACTTTGTTTTCCTTGATTTCAACCTTGGGAATTTCTAAGTTGGAGTCTCAGATACCCACTGGTAGTAATAACTGTTACAATGGTAATAGTGTTAGGCTCAACAAAATGCCATATGCAGTAGAATTTTTTCTTATGGGTCCACAGGAGAGAGTCAGGGTTCAACATAGATGGTTTCTGGTCAGAGCTCACCTCATCTCTTTCTGCAAAGAGACAAGAAGTCAGAGCTTCATGACACTTCTTCTTTTAAGGGAAAATAACCTTTTTTTTTTTTGAGCCTCACTTTCATGAATGTTTCCAGTCTTGATAACCTATCAGAGATTCTGTCTCCAAGTATTATCACATCAGGTAATAAGATTTCAAAAGAACTTGGCAAGGAAAGAGGTACCGAGACCATTAGACATAGGTATAACATTAATATATACCCATATTTTAAAAGAATAGTATTATCATTATTAAAATATTTGAATTTTAGTATTACATGGCACGTAGTGGAAAGCTATGTAGCAAACAAAAATTAAAACAATCAGAATTACAATTTATTGTGCATCTCTTATAATTACTCTTAATTAAGATAACCTTTTAAGCCCATTACTGAATTGGTACATATGTGCATTTTCTGAATTAACCTGCTTAGCTCTCAAAAGTCCAATATTCAGGACAAAACCAAGCAAATTGGTTTTACTTACTATTACATTTAAGAACTAACAAAATGGGAGCATCCTACAAATAATAGTCTAGAAAACAAAATTTAGCAATTATGTTTTCTGCTTTAAAATATTAATCTATTTTAAAATTGGATTTTCAGAAATCAATATTGTTGAAGCACAATTAGTGAGTTATAGTTTTAACATCATATGTATGTGTTCCAATGCACAAAATTCAATTATATACAAAATACAGCAAAACAGTTACTGAATTTACAATTGTTGTGTATTAAATACTGTTTGGAATAGATTTGTTGATGGTGGCTGCTTTGATATTGCTTGTCACATACATACTATTTTATTTTCCATATTGTACGGTGATACTTTTGCTAAATGGTAAAACTGATATGATTTTATTAATTAAAAATAGCTAATATGAACTGGAGAGACAGCTCAGTGCTTACTGCTCTTACAAAGGACTTGAGTTCAGACCTGTAACCCCAGTTCCAGTTCCAGGAGAGTAAGCGACACTCTCTTTTGACCTCCCTGGGCACCCAAATTCACGTGCTGCATATAAGCCCATGCAAGCACACACACATAATAACAAACAAACAAATAAATCTTCAAAATATAAATAGAGAAAATCAGTTTTCTTTAATGATATGATACCTGATAGATTGACCACACTCCAGGGCAGGTCCCATGCCCAGTAAATGGTCAGCTAACACAGACTGCACTGGATTATAGAGAGGGTTAAGAGGGAGAGAGAAATGAAGAGGTCGGCAGGTAGGGGAGTGAGGAAGGATCTGGGAAGAGTTAGTGAAAGGGGGTTAATATAACCAAACACATTGTATGAAATTCCCAAATGACTAATAAAACATTATAGAATACATAACGTTAGCAGAAGTACGTCTTTACAGAGATAAACCCTTTATGACAATTTACTATGTCCTCATAGTTTTATCCCATATTAAATTGATTGTTCCACCTGTTAATTTTAGAAGGATATGCTACCCCTAATATTTTAAATGTAACGACTGGGTATGTTTTCACGAAAGTACTAAAGAAGATGGGAAGGAGTGAGGCCCTTCTCCCTCTACAGGGATGCTGGAGTTTGGAAGTCCAAGGCTTTGGTCCAGTTTCCATGGGATGGTGCTCTGTTCTCTCCAGGCGATGATGCTAGAGAAGCTCTGAAGCATGGTGTGGACGGGATCTTGGTGTCCAATCACGGGGCGAGACAACTGGATGGTGTGCCAGCTACTGTGAGTTTCCACTGGGATTTCTCCACATATCTTTGGAAAATCTGGGCTCTATATGCCTACCGTGTGTGTGTGTGTGTGTGTGTGTGTGTGTGTGTGTGTGTGTGTGTG